GGGGGGGGGGTAATGCTCTCATCCGTGGCTGTCCGGGCGCCACGATATCAAATTATGTCGGTCGGATGGTGGGGGCTCTAGGATAACTCTAGGACAATAGTGGGGGGACCCGCGCTGCTGGCAATGAGAAAAACAGCGGACCTGAGAGAAGAGGCGGCAGTACAAGTGTGAACTTTGTTGCAACAATTGTGCAATGTGTGTGTCCTCCCCCGTTTCTTCCGCATTTTAGTACTTTATCTCACATTTGAAGGGTTTACATTTTAACTGATATCCGAAGAGATTAGCGCGAAATACCGGGTGCTTTCGAGTGAGACTAGCTAGATCAGGTGTGGGTGGGGGCGCGAGTATCGCCTTTATCTGTTTGCGCCGGTACAGGCGAGAGCACAGTCGCTCCCAGTGCACATACGAGCAAGGGAACACTACGCAGACATGGCCTGCAAAGCTTTCGCTACACTGCGCAATGGCGCTAAAATGCCCCTCCTGGGATATGGGACTTGGCAGGTAAGTCAAAACGAATCGACGTCTCTCAGACACTCGGCCGATACAAACCGGGTGTTTCTTTGAACGCGCTCAAGTGTTGCGGGTTTGCCTTCTGCCGTCATCCGTTTTCTCATCACTCACTCTCATTCTCGAACTGACGTTCCCCTTGTTTGCCTTAAGGCAGAAAATTTCCTGGTGCGGCATGCAGCAATCGTTTTGGAAAAATTCAAAAAGACCCCTATTTTTGTCTTTGTGCAGGCGCCCCCCGGCCAGCTGGAGGGTCCCCTTGAGGAGGCGCTGCGCGCGGGCTACCGGCACATCGACACGGCGGCCGCCTACGGCAACGAGGACGTCATCGGGAAGCTCATCCAGGAGAACTGGATCGCGACGGGCAAGCTGAAGCGCGAGGACCTGTTCATCTGCACCAAACTGCCGCCGTGGGGAAACAGATCGGGCGGTCCCGCCAAGTGGCTGAAGAGCTCCCTCGAGAAGCTGCGCATGGACTACGTCGACATGTACCTGGTGCACATGCCGTACACCACGAAGGCGTTTGAGAACGACAGCCCCATCGGCCCGGATGGCAAAATGTCAGCCGAGGAAGATACGGACCACATCACTGTGTGGAAGGTGAGTGTAGGAGGCTTTGTCGTTAGGGTAAGGGGTCGTCCAGAAAGTACGTCCGTCATTCGTCGATACGGACGCACAAGTTCAGCGACTGTGAGCTCTCATAGCGCCTGATAGATAGGCAACATCTTGTCTGCAGTGCATGCGTGTACTGCGGTGTGGCCTACCTTGAGTCTCGCAGGCGCCGAGCTCCCCGTAATTTACAGCATGAATCTGAAGCTAGCGGACGTATTTTCTGGATGATTTCTCATTGGAGAGCATTGTTGGGCGGCACACGTTCCGGTTGACCGGACCCGCGCCAGAGGCTTTGATAGGCACGTTCAGGGCGAGCCGCCGACTCAACACGGCTGCTTGGCGGGTTGGCCCAACCAGCGCGTTGCAGGCGCTATCGCCACTATATAGTGGAGTCCCGATAAGTGACGTCCTGATAACTTTCGAGTGCGAGAGAGCCGGCTTTAGAAAAAGAGGTTGGTCAAGAAACGTGACGAACAGAGCTCTACTCAACTCTACGTTGTTGCACACTTCGAATTAAGTGTTCAACTTCGGGTGTAGCCATAAAGCTCTCAGAACTTAAAACGGGTCAAATTTACAGTTGAAATATTTAAGTATTCAAATTTCCAGTCCAACACCGTTATACCTCCATAGGGTTAAACACTACCATGTGCATAAGTGCTTGCACACTTTTGTTTTCAGTGTAGTCGACATCAAAGCGAAATAGTTCCGATAATGAATTTCTCACTCGGGTAGTTTGACAACTAATGTGTGTGTGTGTTTTTTTGTCTTTCTTAGGAAATGGAAAAACTTGTGGATGCGGGACTAGCAAAAAGCATTGGACTGTCCAACTTCAACAAAAGACAAATTCAGAATATCCTTGATGTTTGTCGCATTAAACCAGCAAACCTTCAGGTCTGTACATACACCTCGTAAACAAGTAAAATATCTTCAAAACACTGTTCTGAAAAATATGAGATAATTAAAGCGAAAGACGTCGCCTAAGCTGCATGAAAACGTATACAACCTACAGTCCTAGGGAATGATTTTCTTCTTGTGTCTTCTAAACAGGTTGAACTCCACATGTACATGCAGCAACGACCCTTAGTTGAATACTGCCACGAAAAGGGCATTGCTGTTACTGCCTATTCTCCAATTGGTAGTCCCGGCTCTGACGTCGTGTTTCGGGACAGATTCGGCGTGAAGTAAGTAAATTACAATTGAAAATAAACATTACAGCTAACCTGTCTGAACGTATATAGTCCAAACGTAGACGTTAATTTTTACTATTTGACCTCGATGTTGCCTACTTCGTGGATTGTAAAAATGCTTCATTTTCCTCTAGTATTACTATGCCTGATCTGCTCCGGAACCCCGTGGTTGTGGAGGTGGCCAAGAAATACAATAAGACTCCCGGGCAGATTTTATTGAAGCATATTGTGGATCGTGGTATCGTGGCCATCCCCAAGAGCCTGAGCAAGGAGCGCCTTACGCAGAACATCAATATCTTCGATTTCAAGCTTGAAGCGGGAGACGTTAAAAAGCTCGACGCACTAGACAACGGCAAAGACGGACGTATCTTCGACATGAAGTTTATTCCCGGGTAAGCACATGATTTGCTGCATATTTGCTTTGTATACTTTCAAGTATAATTCGCTTGTCCCTAATGGAAAGCACGCACCGCCCTAAGCCGCTGGCGAAACCACGCAAGTCCGCTGGGAGGGAGAAAAGATTATTTCTGAAAAGTGTACTTATTTTTTCTCCAGAATAACGAACGAACACCCGAAGTACCCCTTCAACGAGTATCCTTAACGACAACGAAGAAAACTGAAAACAACATGCATTATGCTCTCTGTGATTATTATTGAAAATATATCGCTACGTCTGCCAATGTACAAAAAAATCCAAAAATAAAAAGTACAAATTTTTCGTGCAGAAAGTCTATATGTTCAGTGAACATGTCACACTGTCTTATCCCGCGAGTGGTTAGCTGCTTCTGGAGTGGCGCGAGTGCCTTGCAGGCAGTCAGCGCACTCCCAGCGAGCATAATCATCAATCAAAATTACATTAAAATGACGTAATGTGACGTCAAAATGACGTCAAATTGATGTAAATTAATTGAGCATTGCTCACTGGGCAAGATGTCGGTTGCCTGTATCTTGCGGTTTCCAGTGGCCGTCAATAGCTACACTGTAAATCCGGGGTGTCCAGCAGGTAGGCGACATAAGTCGTCTAGTTTTGCGCCCGCCCAGCTGAGACCAGCCAGGCAACCATTCGTGCTCACGACACGGCCCGAGGTCCGCCCGGGAACCTAGCAACCCATCGTGCTCCCTAGCAGGCGCGAGATGAACAGCTCCGCTGCCAAGCAGCGTCTCTGCCACCGTTGTGGCTAGGGAGTTACTCAAGAATACTTCCGCGCACCCTTAAATCACAATCACCCGAGGGGGCAATAACTCCCTTTTGAAGTGTACACATGATTCCCGAAATTCTTGATTCCCGGTGATTCCCGTCCGCTTATAATTATTATATAGGTTTTTCGGGGGGTTTTAGTGTTATAAAACGCTTATTTCGACTGATTTGTACTTAATTCTCTAGTTTCCCGCTTATTCTAAGCGATTTCTATTGATTTTGATCAATTTTTATCTTGATGATTCCCAGACAGGTGTACACATGATTCCCGGAGTTATTGCCCCCTCGCAATCACCCAAGTTTGATGTTTTCGCCCTCGCCCACCCTTTTCTAGGTATTAAAAACACAAGGCTGGCTTTTTTGTACTTTCTTTGACTTCCCATTCAAAAAAACAACGAAACGTGTCCACTCCACGCTTCTCCCTGCAAACCTTGTCATGAAGCACATCTCATTGCATTCTCAAGCATTCTCAACAGAACGTCTGAACCAATACGGTGTACTGCGAAGTTGACGATGAAGTCAACGACCCGGCTGACCAACGGGGGACTTGACAGCGAGATCGATACCACCGGCCCCCGAGGCGCCGTGCTCCCCCCTCCCCCACCTCACTACACAGCGCTTTCTTCGCTTGTCACTTGGGGTGACAGGGTCCGATGGAAACCGCCGGGATCCTTGCTGCCCCTGGCTGCTATTCGCTGCTCCACACATGTTCAGTGTACATATTAGCGAATGGAAATTGGGTAGTTCGAGAAATTTACACGCTAGTCGACTTGAAGGAATTAATACAGGAAACAGTAGGCAGACTAAGGGTGAAGGACGAGGTGTGGAAGATCTCATACGAGTCTTGTAATTCGTCTGTCTGTTTTCCTAATCAACTATCCTGAGACGGTTTTTCTTCGTAACGATCTGAGAAGATAGTCACCCCCCCCCCCCACAAGGCACAAGGCGTTGCCTGCTCTGATCTCTTTTTACCCAGGGTGCAATATTTTGCCACCCCTAACGAGTAAAGAAATCGCGATTCTGGTCCTTTGTGCCCCCTCTCAGCAAAGAGACGATATGCTGGGCCGTTCAGTGGTTCACCCAGAGAATCCTTTCTTTGAATCAACGAAGCCTGCTTTAAAACAAAGAAATTCTTTACTCAATATAGATTTAAAGAAATGTGTTTGAATCAAAGCAGCCTGTTTTGATCCAAAGAGGG